TTTGCTACATCCTAAAGCTGCTCGAAAGGATTAAAATTCACTATTAAGAAGTAGGCTTAGGTTATCTTTTCAGACGAAAAGAAATTCAATCTGGATGGATAATAGAACGGTTTACGGCAAGAACGATGCATTTTTTACCGGCAGAATTTCGGTTGTGGAAATGTGATTTTGTAGGGTGCAATAACATCCGATTGTACCCTTGAGTTGCAATTCTGCTCAAATAAAATGAAGAATTTAGACTATATTCCCATACTGCGGATCAGGTTCAAACCAGTTATTGAGTGCAATGAAAGACATTGCATTTTTCAACACGACAATGCTGCATTTTATAGAAGCAGGGATGCAAAATGCTGCTTGGAAACCAGCAATATTCGAACCCTTGACCTCTCGAGACCTCAATCCAATGGAAAATGTGTGAAGAATACCGGCAATGAAAGTTGATGCTGATAATCGCCAATTTGAAAACGTTATGGCTTAAATTGGCGATTTTGCAAGAGTGGCATAAACTGGGTGCTGCTTTACCGAAGACATTATGTCTAAGTATGAGGAAGCATATATTTCAGTTAATTAAAGTCAATGGAGCACGAATAGGGTATTAGAAGGACATATTTGCATGTTTTACTCATGTTATTGGGACTTCTTTTTTTGGATTTGTAGTTTTGCAACAAGTAATCTTTAGATATTTTTTAACCTTTTAAATAAGGTTATGATTATAAAAAAATTAACCACTCTATTATAAGAGAGCCCTTACCACGCAAAAGTCATAGAATAAAGTTTTTACCAATCTTGATTGTGACGGCTGTTTCAAAGACTATTGTACTGGATTTATAATTATGCAACGGAGTGTACTCCCGGGGGAAAAATTAATACACATCTTGTTCTAATGACTACTGGTAATCGTTACAGCTATGCAATTTTTACACATCATTTCAAATAGGTAACGTTCATTTTTGCATACTTAACTCGATTTTTTTGCTTTTTTTTTGGATTATGCCACTTTTCTAGTAAATGAGCGATGCCCATATACATATCGTCACCTGAAATGCAAAAAGACGTAACAAAAATCGTCACTACAATAGAAAAAGTTGTGAGTAATATTTTGCTTTTCATAAAACGATGTGGGGAGTTGTATGAAAATTCGATGAACGCTGAAATTCATCATATCAATCAAAAAGTGTATTTTGAATTTTTTATCAGCTACAACTTTTTGCATTTCAGCTACGATGTTTGTTACGTCTTTTTGCATTCAGGTGACGATATGTTTTAAATATACATATGTATGTATTTATATGTTTTCGTTGAAGCTCGATTCGTTAAAAATTCTGTTTCACTTCTCGTGCTCACCAACACAGACACAGTTTAACTTTTGCCGACCACTGCTCTAAATCATAGGTGGGCAATTTTTGCTCGCGAGCAACGCCAGCGCCGCAGTTCGTATACGTATACAGCAGTGATCGGACTTAAAAAAATTCTGTATGGTAGTATCTGGAAAAAATGTGGTAGATTTCAAAAAAATGTGTAAGATCTCATGTTTTGGATCAAACTTTGTACAAAAATTAAAAAAAAATCTGCAAGGGTTCACCTAAATTGCAAACTTTTTAATTAGACTCCAAAAAAGATAGTTTTAGTACAATAAGGTGCCAGATTGAAGTTACTAAAAATTGCGTTGAGTTTTGGGAATTTTTTTCCTTGGCAGTGTAAAGCAGGAGCATATTTTGAGAGATTTCTGCAACCTTGCGGACTGCTGCCAGCTTTTGTTTTTATTACATCACGATTAGCGAACAAATGTGGCACGTTCCAGAAAGCGCTACTTGGGATTTGCCGATTTTGAAAAATCTCAAGTAAAAGTAAACAACGCCTCGAAAACTTAAAATGCACTGAAATTTGCCAATACTTTCACAAAAATCGCCGTTTTTTAACATTTTCGCTATTAGTTCTTTTTATAAATCATATATTTTGCAATTTAACACAATAAAACCACGTTTCCTGACGAAAAATTTATTATTGAGAAAATTTACTATTTTACAGTTTATTTTATCCTCCCATTCGGCTTTATTTACTTTTACTTGAAAAATTTCATCGCCACCGGGAATGTGGAATCTTGTATTATATCATTCTTGTTACCATATACATAGTGTTTAGTGTTGGAAAATTTTTGCTCTTAAAATTAAGAAAATTATGGCGAGCAAAAATAAAACTGCTCAAAAACGCGAATATGTGGTATATTTCCGACCTTGTGTGGTAGATGTGGTAGATGCTCAAAAAAGTGGCAGATCTACCACAATGTGGTAGAAGTCCGATTACTGGTATACAGAAGCAAAGCAGCGAATTTCGATTCAGTCTGCTTACAGATTTCACCAAGGTAACATCACGCTCGGCTGCTGATTGTTTTTCTTCGTAATTTTAGCACACGCTGCCGACATTTTGTGTAGGAAATTTACAAAAAAAGCCCAAAGCAAAGAGTGGTGTATTATTTTTCGATTGGTGTTTGCATGAGTTTGCTACGATTCAAACACAAAATAGTGCGACTCTATATAAGAACTACAGTTTATAGTTCAAAGAACCTTGAACAACCCACAATGTTCGTTATGCTCTTATTCCTACGTATTTTTAATATAAGCAAACTGTATTTTTCTTGCCGTGTGAATTAAAAAAAAATATAAAATGGGCTGCTTGCTGACCAACGTTCACTAATTTTATAATAGGTTCCATGATTTTTTTTAAAAAAGAGCACAAATTGTATTCTTTATTTTAGAAAGGTTGTTTTCTATCTTAAGAAACCGATAGAGAAATATAAATGCTGGTTTATGCCCTAAAATACTTAATGCAGAATATTTATAAGTTATACTCTATTTTTAGAACTAAATACCTATTTATATGAAAATAATAAAATCTAAACACCGTAATCATCTTGCCGGCTGGCATTTCAAAGATTTGATTCTAACAAAACGGTGCCCAGTTATTAAACAAATGAGTTTTACCAATTTAATTTTTTTTTTAAATTTTACATGTACTAAATTTTTCGTATGCAAAAATTCCTATGAACTAATAGTATTAGTTACTAACACTTCCAAGATTCATTATTCCACTATACGTATAGGCAAAATAGATCAATAGACCCATGTACGAAAAATACCACTTTTAGTACATTTATAAAAAATGTGGCAACCACAACTGAGCGCGACGCACTAATAGCACGTCAAAGTGAGACTGTGTTGGTGTGCCCAGCATCAGGTAGGTAGTTAGAGGTGGCTGCCGCCTTAGCGGCACACTTAGGCCATAGACCACAGTTGACACCGCTCAATTACCCTCCCCATTGAACCATTTCGTGTCGCTGATGAATCTCATCAGGCACCTCGCATCGGTATTTGAAACCTCTCTAAGGTCGGCCACGAATGGTGAACCCAGATGACGCAACCTGCTTCTGCACATTGCAGGGCAGTTACACAAGAGGTGCAAGACTGTTTCCTCCTCTTCGTCGTTCTTGCAGCTTCTGCAACATCTACGAAAAGGCACCCCGAGCGTTTCTGCATGTTTACCTATTAAGCAGTGGCCGGGTAGGGCCCCCACGACGTTAGATATATCCTCTCTTTTAAGAGAGTAAACCCTTCGTGACCGCCTCCGGTCCCATTTAGGCCAAGTCTGCCTGGAAATTCGAAAAGTCTTACTTTGACTCCATCTTTCTTCAGCTTGTTTATAAACAAATTCACTAATTAACAGCCTTCAAGTGGCAAAAGGCCTACCAATGCGTTCTTTATCAGGAAGAATGTGCCCTGCCTTGCAAGTTCATCTGCCTTGCAAGTTCATCTGCCTTGCAGTTTCCCTCTATGTCTGTTCTGCTTGGCTATCTCCTGTAGAGATAGGCGGCAGTCCAGCGCAATCTTTGAGTGATACGTGAAGGAGCTCAGAGCTTTGATTGCAGCCTGGCTATCACTAAAAATGAAGATGTCCCTTCCCATCATTTCGGTTCCAAGCTGCTCAACAGCTTCTATGATAGCTGAACTTCAGCTTAGAATACGCTGCAGTAGTCCGGTTGCCATTGTAATTCCTCTCTTAAGCGAAGAGCAGCGAACGCTGCCATCTGCTTTCCTACCAAATCCAGTGCCAGAAGATCCAAAATAGCGTTCAGAGCATCGTTTGGCGTGGTTCTGAGCGCTCCGCTTATGCAGATCATACTGGACCTTTGCACCTTGGTGAGAAGCCTGAGGTTGACCTCTTTATCAAACGCAGGCCGCCACACGATCACTCCATACAGGAGGACTGGTCTGACGACTGCTATAAATATCCATCGACAGATCCGGGGACTGAGGCCCCATCTCTTGCTTATGGCCCTTTTACAAGTACTCTATACTTTCTGAGATAGGGCGTTTTCGAACTGGCTGCCGAGATAGATCGATCTTCCACTCAGGTGTCGATATGTATGTATACACTTTCTGTTACGTTTTGTTTTGTAAAGTTATATATTTCCAATAGTTTTTGTGATAATTCGTAATAAGTACTGCAAATATACAGTGACGAGCAAAACTGTAACATGGTTTAACACTTTTTGTTTCAGCCACCGCTATATTTCCAAGTTCTAACGACTTTCATACTTTTGCTGTATATTCTTGTTGGTACATCCCTACTCCCTCTCTCATAATGATTTGAAGTCAATACAACAACAATAAAAAAACCAGCAGACAAAAATGTAAATTAAGGCAGATGTTACAGTTTTGCACTCATATATTTCTAAGAGCTTTTTAACAATTTTCACGAAAAAAAAGAACTACTAACACAATGTTCAGTACTCTTTTGCCTGTTTCAGTTCCTGGATGTGATTTGGCGTACCTTAT